AAAATAATTTAAAATATTTAATTTGTGTAATGTAATTGATACTTGTTATTATTTATAATTTAAAATAATTAATTCATTTAATTAGAGCTAATAGGTGATAATTAGTTGCAAAACATCAAAATAAACACCTTAGATTATTTGTTTAACAAATAAATGTATGAGATTTTATGGTGCCATGTTGTCCCCTTTCTACGACCAAATGAGTGTGTAGTTTTTTCTTTTTTTTTTCTTTTTTTCGTTTTTCCCAAAAAGAAGTCCGAATGTATAATCTTTTACCACACTGAAAAGGTGTATGGTGTGTAAAAAACAAAAATGATATAGATAAACATCACATAAGTTTACAAGCAAGATGTATAATTATATATAATTTATTTTAATTTAAAATTTTACCTATAATTTTATTTTATTTAATAATAATTTATAATTTTAAAATTGTAATCATATAAGACATTGCCACTTTAGCATTGCCAGTAAAAGACAAAAAAACAAAAATAGACAAAAAAAACAGAAATAGATAAATCGATACTGCAAAAGAAAACAGAGAATGGACCAAGCCTCAATCAGAGCAGGCATGGGCTCCATTCCCTCATTCAAGTCCAAGTCAGATGTGGGTTCACACACTGGCACTACGAAGCAGAAAGTACAAAACAGACACCAGCTCTCGTACAAACAATCCAACCGAACCGAAACTCTCCAAACTAAAGCGCGGAGCGGACAATCGAAGCGTAGCAGCAGGCAGCAACTTCATTGATTATGCGTCCAAACCATCAAAACCCTTGTTGTGTATGGCTGATCGTATAGGGGTTTGCTACCCCAGACTGTAACTATTTTGTTTGCTTGTTATATTATCTTCCTTTTACCAAAAACAAAAAAAAAAAACCATCAAAACCCTTTTTCTCTCCTTGCTTAACTTCAAGCCTCGCTAATTCCTGCTCCCTTCCAACTCAGCCATGGAGAAGAATCAGAATCAATCCCTAAAACCAAACTACCCCATCAAAGGATTCTTTCTCCTTCACTCCATACATAGTTCAGTTTCTTCAACAGAATGCCTTCTCCAAAACCCTTAAGATTTTAAGAAGTTCCTCTCCAAAGCTCAAATTCAGACATTATGCATATACGTACCTGTATTTCTTCCCAGTGCATCTATAATTCTATATTCATGCATTTCGTTTCTTCGAATTAAGCCTCCGCTTTGCCCATTACGCTCATGATGAGACAACTCCTACTGTGAAAAGGTAGATTCTTGGGACTTTTCTACATTATTTTAGTTTTTCTCACCTTCAAATATCTTTTCAGGATGGTGCTGAGAATGGCTAGGGTGCAAAAACACAGGAGATTCTTGGGCAAGTAAGAGGGTATATCCATATTTATGTACTTTCACATAAATGTTAAGATATATGTCTAAAACAACAAATGAGAATTGATCAAAATGTCATGTAAATTCATAAATACAGAAAAGTATTATGCACTTTGAGATGGCAAATTCATAGCTACCATGCTGATGAAAATTGAGCTGTAACCTAATCGTTCTCTACTGCTTAGCCAAGTGTTAAGTTTGTTTGTGCTAAATGGCTTTAGGTTTCCAAGTTTCTTTATTTTGAGAATCTATTGTGTGTTAAGGCAATAATTATTGTAAGCATTTGTATTTTATATCTTCAATTAAGCATTCTGTTTGAACATCTGGAGGAAGTTTCCTGCTCAGCTGGCAATTGGGGTAAATGTTAAAAGGTGGTTTGATGTCTAGGTTTTTTTTTTTTTTTTTTTTTTTTTTTTTTTCTCATTTTCTTTTTCTTGGGTATATAGTCTAGCTTTTAGCATGCAAGATGGCACGAGAACATACAAGCAGAATGATGGTTTGATAACTGTTTACATGTTTTACAAGTTTTAGCATTATGGTTTCTTAATTAAGCTTGTTTCTCACCTTAATCATTCTCGGGGATTTTCGACATGAGAAGAAGAAGAAGAAGAAACGCGGAACTTATAGAGGGGGATAGATAGATCTCCAGTCCCACTCAGTAAAATTCAATTATTCTGATGATGAGTTACACGGCTTTTGGGGCATGATAAATTATTATACACAAGAATGCCATTTTCAGGGATTGTTGACTCTTGCATTTCATTTTAACTAATCTCAACTATTTCCATGCTTGGAAAAATTTTGGGTCAAGATTCCCTACTTTTTACCAAAATAACTAAAGAAGTATACAATCAGATTCTCTACATAAAAAAAAAAAAAAAAAAAAAAAAAAAAAAAAAAAAAAAAAAAAACCATTATTTAATAAAAAAATATTTCATTATTTAAACTGCACTAATATTAACAATTAAACTAAAAGAAATCCCTAATATTAGAAAAAAATATTTTTATTTAATTATTAATATTTTATAATTTAAACAATAAAATATTAACTTTTCTATTATCCTCTCCCAAATTTAAAGACTCTTTGATTATCATACAAAACAAAATATAGCCGTTGGGACTTGGGAACATTTTAAGTTTGAACTGAACCCAACACTATAATATTAAATAAATACTATAAATTAAGAAAAAAAAAATGAAATTGAATCGGGGTTAGTGGTGGTCCCGTCCAACAGACAGAGCAAATGAATCCAACGGCTCCCCTTCTTTCTCCTCTCTTTCTAACGGATCTATTGCCTTGGGTTTGGCCGCTCAAATTTGAACTATTCTCTCTCTCTCTCTCTTGCTTTAAATGCAAAAAAAAAAAAAAAAAAAAAGGCCCTCATTTTGAAATTGTTTTCTCCTTCCTTTATCTCTTCTCCCTCCCCTCCCCCCATTTCTCCTCCCTCCTTTCCAATTCTAAATGGGCAGTTGTTTTAGTAAGAAGAAAGTTTCTTTTTCCTCTTCTTCTTCTTTACCAACAGAAACAGTCGACCCAAGTAAGAAGAATGATGTAGCAGCAGTTGGCAAGGTGGTGGTGCAGGTGAAGACAGAGCAGCACAACATCAAGGTTGTCAAGCAAAAAGAAGAAGAGAGCTTAGCAGTTCCTAAAAATGAGAAGGGAGAAGAGCAGGGCCTTGTTAAGAAGGAGGTATTTATCATAAAGCATAGAAAGAGCCATGACAGGGAAAGACCTTCACTTTCTCCTCCCCAAAATGCAGCGGCTGGAGCGGATGTAGCAGAGGTCAATGTCGATTTGACCAGTGCTGTTAACAGTGTGAATGCAGTGAGGACATCGAGCTGCACGAAGGAGGAAGTGGATGCGATTTTGATTCAGTGTGGACGGCTTAGTCGCAGTAATTCCTCTGGTAAGGCGATTTCTTCTGGGAGGAAGTATTCAGGTTCAAAAAGGAGTTATGATTTCGATCACGAAAATGAGCCTGCAGTTGCCGATCAGGAATTGAAAGGGGAAGGAAATGATGAGGATGAACTGGCAGAGAGGCGACTGCACCGGCAACGCCACAGGCAATCTCCTTCCAAGGGGAGGAGGAGGACGCC